TGATCACCAGTGCGCTTAATTGAGTCTGGCACCTCAGGAAGGATGCATGAAAATAATATAAAATACAGCTATGTAATTATTTGGAGCATAAGAATCCTTGGTCTTGTCTTGGTTTTTTTTTTTCCCCCCTAGGGAAGCCTCTCTGATCTGCAAAATCTGGACCACAAACTGGGATTATTGGGGTTGTTTGCCGCCATCTTGTACCTATCTGGATTTCTGCAGTGGAGATCTGGGAGGCATTGCCTTAATAGGGAAAAGTTCTATGGCAATAGAGTGTATCATACCATTCTCAAAGATCCACTTGCTTCTTGATGTAAGAATATTTCATGAGGCTGGCCTTGAGGGAGAACACGCTAGGAGGTTAGAGTGTTGGGAGTAGGAACAAGAAGACTGCCAACTCAGTCACGAAGTTAACTGACACCAGATAGTTCACTACTTTGCGCCCAACAATTTGGAGGAGGAGGATGGGATAGCAAGAAGTAGAATCTCTGCAGAAGTAATCCTGAGCACTGAGCAGGAGCAGCTATCTGGTCCTTGTAAGGATAGACAATTTTTATTCCTTTTAAAAGTTTGTGGAGAAAGAGCAGACATGCCATTAATCTGACAGAAGTGTGGCTCAGCCATCCGAGGTCTGTCTGACAAAGAGATATATCGGAAGGATGGAAGAGCTGAGGTGGCGCAGTGGTTAGAGTGCAGTACTGCAGGCTACTTCAGCTGACTGCTAGCTGCAGTTCAGCAGATCGAATCTCATCGGCTCCAGGTTGACTCAGCCTTCCATCCTTCTGAGGTGGGTAAAATGAGGACCCAGATTGTTGGGGGCAATAGGCTGATTCTGTAAACCACTTAGAGAGGGCTGTAAAAGCACTGTGAAGTGGTATATAAATCTAAGTGCTATTGCTATATATCTGGATGTTGCAGAATGAGTACCAGATACAAACCAGGATTGTCAGTGGAAGCCAAGGATTTCAAAAATAGCAATAGAAATAGCGCTTAGACTTATATATGGCTTCACAGTGCTTTACAGCCCTGTCTAAGCATTTTGCAGAGTCAGCCTATTGCCCCCAGCAATCTGGCTCCTCATTTTACCAACCTTGGAAGGATGGAAGGCTGAGTCAACCTTGGGCCTCATCAGGATCGAACTCCTGACAGTGGGCAGAATTAGCCTGCAATACTGTATTCTAACCACTGTGCCACCACGGCTAGAATATAATAGAGCTGGAGGTAAAAGCATCCCCGAAAGCAATGTGATTACTGTAAGTTTTTCTTGTTTGGGAACTCCCATGCTTGGCAGTGAGCACAGGAAACAGAAATCAAAATATTGCTGCTAACCTCAAACCAGCAGGGAGGTTGAGAGGAGGGGAGGGGGGGAAACAAAATACTGACAATTAGGCTATAAGCCATTCCATGTGGGCTCATACAGTCCATGCCTCCTCCCTCTTTCCCGTAATTGTTTCTTCTCAGTTACGTCACTTCTGTTCGGGACAAGAGTGATGTCACGGTCGTCAAGGTGTTTTAGCACAGATGTCACCCATGTGTGGCAGTCTGCCGCCTCTTTCTTTCCATTTGGAGGGTGATTAATAAAGTCTAGAACCCGCTGAGCGGACTGTCTGTCAGGGGGAAACCAGTGGCACCGGGTCTCAGCAGACCGAGTTTCTTTTAAATCTGCACACAGTAGCAAGCAGCCATAACCACAGGACGCTATTATGGGACACGAAGGGCCGTACAGGAAATGAGTTCCTGCTTCCTTCTAATAGTTGTTTCAAATGCAGCTCAGAGGTTGATACTCCAAAGCTGGTTTCTGGAATGCAATTTGAAGTTCTTAAATGAAAAATATAATCTTTTTTTTTAAAGTGCCCCCCCCCCAACATACAGGTAGTCCTCAACTTACAACCACAATTGAGCCCAAAATTTCTGTTGCTAAGTGAGACATTTGTTAAGTGAGTTTTGCCCCATTTTGCGACTTTTCTTGCCACAGTTGTTAAGTGAATCACTGCAGTTGATAGGTTAGTAACCCAGTTGTTAAGTGACTCTGGCTTCCCCATTGACTTTGCTTGTCAGAAGGTCACAAAAGGGGATCACATGACCCTGGGACACTGCAATGGTCATAAGTATGAACCAGTTGCCAAGCATCTGAATTTTGATCACGTGACTATGGGGATGCTTCAAAGGTTGTAATTGAAAAACGGTCATGACTCATATAAGTCACTTTTTTAGCGCCGTTGTAACTTTGGACAGTCACTAAATGAAGTGTTGTAAATCGAGGACTACCTGTATTGCATTTAACTTTGCTTTAGACAGGATAGATAGGGGGTGGGGGTGGGGCAGTGCGATTTTCGCTCAAACAATGAAAGCATCTGTGAGTGCCGAAAAAGGTTTCCATATGTTTTTAGGATACTGTCATGATATATAAATGGCATCTATATCCCTGTTAGGTTTTGATTCATTTTGAATAGGCCTAGCAAAAGTCCTTGGTTTTTCTGAGTAGCTTCCTGTAAGCTTTTTGATCTTGCCCTTTGTTGAGACAAAGAAGGGCTGTTGTGCCATTATCCCCTCTTTCACAAAAAAAGAGAGAAAAGCACACAAATTAATTCCCCATTTAAACCACAATCACCACAGTCATAAAATGATGAACTGGAGGCAGCAGTCCCTGCAGCAGTAACATACAGATATACATACAGATTTGTTAAAATGAGCACTAAGGACATAAACCATAGTCACTTAATACTGAGTCCAGAAATATTCCAACACCCTTCCCCTCAAAACACGGTTAGAATTGCCAACCTAACATCTCAGAAACAAATTTAGATATAGAACTTGTTTCATAAACCCCTACAGAAGAAAACAGCACCGTATTTCTTTCCATTTCAATTTCCCAGAAGCACTGCATCCCGGCACTTACATTTCCACCTTGCTAGCTGTGAATTATGGAAGCTACATACAGTCTAACTCACCAAGAGAGCACTAGGAAGATTTGGAGAAGGGGATGATTTTAAGGAGTTTTTTAAAAAAAATTTCCTACACACTTAGAAGTTTCCAAAGAATTCAACTATAACCTAACCTAGCAATAGATAAAGATTAGTCTGCATTAGTTAATAGCTCGCTGGCTGATCTGTACTGGCTCCAGTGAAGCAAAGTGAACTACAGTACTTCTTCCCCTCAATAAATGAGACTGAAAAGGAATGAAGTCAGGAGTTATCAGGAATCAATTTTTGGGGTGGAAGGTTTGGGAGCTCAGTTCAGTCCCTGCACTGAGAATTCTTGAATTCCTAGACTTTTTGCTTTGTACCGAATTAATCAGGGTTCAATGGGGAAAAAAATTAAAATTGATTCTGTAACTAGGAGGGGAACAGTAACCACAGAATTTGAGATGATGAACAGATGGACATTTTTCTTCTTCACCATATTGCCTTCCTAACAATTCCCTCCAGAGAGCAAGAAACCCATGCAAACAATGAAACATCTGAACATCACAACCTCTTTGAATGTAGACAGTCATGTTTTACATTTGTATCTAAAAAAAAAAAAAAAAAAAAAAGCATAATGGATATTCATTCAAATTTATTCAAACCAAGTCCAGTAGGATATGCAGTCAGGTAAATTTTCTCATTGAACGTGCTTTGTGAGACATAAGCCACACATTTTTGCGATGTAAAGAGCAAGTTCAGTGAGCTCATATATGTGATGCTTTTCCATCTAGAAAATCAGCTGCAAAATGTAACTAGCTGGACCAAAGAGCAGTTTCCCAAAAAAGTATCTCACAGGAGCCCCTCCTCCCCCTCCCTTGGTAGATTCAAGTTCCCAAAATGGTTTGCCACCCATTCATTTTTATTCACAGTACTACTTTCATTGACTGGAAGCCATCAGTCAATTACAAGTTTAAATTGCATCCAGATACTAAATGGTAACAATCAAGAACAGGCGCTAGCCCACCCAGGAGACTTGTCCACTAGTGTCTTCAAGCAAATCCAGGGCAGTTGGTCAATCCCAGGATTAACAGGTCCACTACAACAGAGGTCACCGACCTTGGAAACTTTAAGTCTTCCCAGAATTCCCCAACCAGCCAATTCTGGGAGTTGAAGTCCACAAGCTTTAAAGTTGCCAAGGTTGGAGATCTCTGCACTCCAAGGAATTTCTGGTGCCTCCGTGGGAAACTTTCCACCATCCCCACCCGAGAGTTTGGTCAGGAAAGGTAGGATAGGATGAGTCGGGATGGCAGCGGGAGGCTAAGATCAGTCTTGCAAACGGACCACAAAGCGTGTGTGTGAATCTTCCTCCTCTTTCTCCCACGCGGACCTTCAAGGCACCGAGAAGCGCGCCTCCCGCATCGACAAGCACCGCAGGTGATTTATCTATGGAGATTCTCAATCATCCAGGTCACGGTTGTCCCAAAGGTGCTTCCTCCCCACCCACCCACCCACCCACCAAGAGGCAACTGGACTTTTCTGGTTTTTCTTTGAAGACGTTCAGCGTCTTCAAAGAAAAACCAGAAAAGTCCAGTTGCCTCTTGAGGTGGGTGGGTGGGGGGGGAAGCATCTTTGAGACTCCCGCAGGTGATGGAAGGAGGACGGCTTCACACCGCGTTAACCCCAGGCAGGTCCCGGAGGGGAGCGGGTGGGGTGGGGTGGGGAGAGGCGATGCCTTCGCGGAGAATGAACGGGAGGCGAGAAGCCTGGGGAAAAGGCAGCCCTTCCTCGCAGGACGGGGCAGCGAAAGGCCATGGTGGAGGGGGGGGCGGGGATGTCTCTCCTCCCTAGTTCCCAGTCCTTGGGGCGAAGAGGGGCAGGAAAGGCAATGGCAGATAGGGGCGTTAATCGGGTCCGCAACGGGACACACCCAGGACTGGAAGGTGTGTGTGTGTGTGTGTGAATGGGGGGGGGGCGAGAGTGGCCGAGGAGGGCCGGCGCCGGGTTAGGAGGATCGCGCGTGTGCAATGCCTGGTTCTTGCCGCCGCGTCCCCCCCCCCCCCCCTCCGGCAGGGCGGCGTCCCTTCTTCCACTTACCCTCCTGGCTCGGGGCAAGGTGCCCCCCGAGGCCGCCAGCGCTTTTTCCAGCTCCGACGCTCGGCTCCCGGGAGCTTCCGGGCCGGCCACGCTGGCCGCCGTTTCTTGCGCCGGTTGTCCGGGCCGGAGGCGCCGAAGTCTTCGCAGGGTCATGGCTGGAGAGCGGCGGAAAGGAAGACAGACGGGCGGCCGCGCCACACGATGCTGTCTGGGCTCCGGGATTCGATGGGGAAACCACGCCCCTCCGCCTTCTCTCGGCGAGTCAAGCCTCCGTTTGCAAAGACAGCGCCGCCGAGGCCACGCCCCGTCTCCGGGAGGCCACGCCCCTCGGCTCGCAGCTCCACGCCCACCGCCGAGAAAACTCACCTTTCTGAATTCGAAGCGCTGCTTCCAGCTCTTGACGCCTGGACGCTTCCCAATCCAGGTATATGAGACATCGGGGCTATTTTCTCTCGCTTGGGCGAGCCGGCCGGCTTTCCCCCCTTCCACTCGGTCTATTCTTTCCCCTCGGGAAGAAGGAAACTCCGAGAGGGGGCGGCGTGTGAAGTTAAGAGAGTTCTCACAATTCCATTTTCCAAGCCGCTAGTCCTCAGTGTCCTTATCTAGAGACGAAGCGGGCGGGTTGCGGAGAAAAGCTTCATTTGGAACCTTTGAGGACAAGCGAAGCGGTTCCCCCGGAGGCCCCGTCGTTTCAGCCGTCTGCGGTCGGCCGTACTGTGAAACAAAGTTGCTATTTTTAACGGCCCAGGTAGCGGAGTTTCCGCTGCGGTGAGCCCGAGGCTGAGAAACCGGATTTTGTTGTCCGGTGTCCTAAGTTTAAAAAAAAAAAGCGATCTTTGTGTGAAAACCGCTTAAGCTTTTAAGCGCAAATCCGAAACTCTCTCAAAAGAGTTGTGTTTTCTCACGACTCCCGCACCGTGACGTGTGTGGGAAGACAAGGGGCGATTCGTATCCGAAACAAAAGAGATTCCTTGCACAAGACAGTCTTTTCCTTTAGCACCTACCTTACATTTGCTTCCCCAACCGGGCGCCCCTCAATTGTACCGGAATGCAACTCCCCTAATCAGAGAATCTGGGAAATCGTCCACAGATCAGGCTTTTCTCAGCCTTGGCTACTTTCAAGACACGTGGACTTCTATTCCCAAAATTGAGAAATCCGGATCTAGATAGGTCCAGATTGGGGGACGCCGGCGCGCACCGTGTGCTTCGCTTCTGGTGAGCGCGACGGAACAAGCGATGTTCTTGAAATGAAGCAAAGAAACTTCTTCCTAGTTAGTGTCTTCTGGTTTTGTCCACAGACGGGATGCTTTCAGAATGTGGCCCAAGACTGTAAAGCCACAAATAAATAAACATTCATATTTCATAGTCTGCGCGAAAAACGTGGGAAGGATGTGTGGTAATGGAGCTCCTTCTAGCGTCGGCATGGATAAATTTCAGAGGAAACCTTAATTGCTAGAAAAGACTGTTAAGAGAAGCATGCACTCTTATAGAGTTATTCATTTTATATACCTCATCCCAGGGGTGAAATCTACAATTTTCCCCTACTGGTTCTGTGGGCGTGGCTTGGTGGGCGTGGCAGGGGAAGGATATTGCAAAATCTCCATTCCCACACCACTCTGGGGCCAGCCAGAAGTGGTATTTTCCGCTTCTCCAAACTACTAAAAATTTCCACTACCGGTTCTCCAGAACCTGTTAGAATCTGCTGGATTTCACCCCTGCCTCATTCATTTACAAGTAGCACATGGTTAGAAATATTATCTCAGCTCATTGTTAGTTCTACAACTATCCATTTTATATCGAGCTGTTCTGTCGCTCTCACCAGAAGAGATAGTACGTTATGCGCGCCAGCGTTTCCCAATCTGGAGTCGTCTAGCTCAGGGTTTCTCAACTTTGGGAGTTGAAGTCCACATGTCTTAAAAGTAGCCAAGGTATTCTCCGATTAGGGAAGTTGCACAGAAACCTTTACTTCATCCCTCAGGCTGCAATCCCTGAAAATAAATGTGTTTATTCCACCTGGGTTTTTAGAGATGGATAATTAGATGACATCTGGGGGGACATCATGGATCTCACTTTCTTAAATCTCACAGTGGGGAAGTGAAGAAAGGATAAGTGCAAAAGATGAGCCATTGCACAGATTCTTGTAAGTATTCTGATTGTTGCAACCTTACTTGCATGTCTGTGTAGTTGTTTGCAAAGGTGGCTGAATTGTGTAACATGCAAAGGAGTCTTAAGAAGCATCACAACCTTTCAATCCAAGGAAAAACTAAAGAAAAGGTGCTGTTTGAACTAAAAGATTGCAGCATCTCTCAGAATTTAAAAGGTTGCTTTTTCAGTCCTTTATGTATAGATAGCGCTAGGGTTAAAAGTCGATTATTACAATTACATTGTACCCGATTTACAACTGGCTATTTAATGACTGTTCAAAAATATGAAGTTTCAGAAAGTAAAGCACTTCTGGCCATTCTAAAACACCATGCTGTTCCCTCCACCTCTGCAGTGATGTGCTTGTGATCTGGAAGCTTGGGAACCTGTGCATACTTAACAACTGGTTGGAAAGTGCCATGTGATCATCATTTGCAATTTTCTCTGCTGGCTTCCCCAGAAAGTCAATGGGGAAACCAGCAGAAAAAGTTGCAAGCTGCTGAAGAATCCCCCCCCCTCTTTGTGCTTAGGGAATCCTTTCTCAGGCTGCAGAAATCTTTGGGGTCCAAACTTCGTTTCTCTATAGCCCAATTCCGTGGATAGAATGGAATTGCTAGCTCTCCTTTGGCAGACAGGTAGGTTTTTTACTGGTTGCTTAATAGCCACAGCTGGGACAGCTGAGACTGAAATTGTTGAGCAGTCACATGGGTGTCTTGCTGAACAACTGTTTCACTAAATGATCAAGATTCTGTGCCCAATTATGGTCATAACTTGAGGACTACCTGTATAAGCATTTAGACTGACCATATAGCATTAAGGGATCAGATCAGTCTTTCCCAGCCTAGTGTCCCCACGGACTGCAGTTCCTATCATTCCCCGGCAATGGAAGGCTAGAATATTGAAAATCTTACTGTGATTGGGAAGTGTATATGATAAAGAAAATGAAATGCAGGGTGTTGGTTTCTTGCTCTCCTCCATCCTAAATCTGTGTGTGTGTGTGTGTGTGTGTGTGTGTGTGTGTGTGTGTGTGACTGTCTATCTCCCTCTCCCCCCCTCTCTAATCTATCAATCTGTAATCTCACAAAGAAGTTGGAAATGATGAAATGGCAAATGTGCCTATGCTGAATAATGTTTTTGGATTTCCACTGGTGAGTTTACACATCTTTCAAGTGTTCCATTGTTGTCGTTCTGATTGCTTTATGCTACAAGATATCATACCAGTGTGCGAAACAAAGCATTTAAACGATGAGTGAGATAGAAATAATGATTGAGAAGTTCAGTATTAAAATAAAAAATTGATGCCTACAGGGATGAAACAGGCAGGATTGACGCAAACCAGCTCCCCCTCCCCTAAAACTGAATCACTTTGGAACTGTTTTTACTTATGACAGTTTGTTTCAAAGTATCTTAAGTTCATCAAGTTACTACAGCTTGCTCCAAGAAGTTACAGGTGCGATCCAGCCTTAATAAATCTAAAGCAGCAGAAACAACTTTCTTTCCCATGATTTCTTTTCCATACCCAAGACTTCCTTGTTGGCTCTGAGGCTGATAGTGCTGGAATTCTGGTTAGATCCACCCCCAAGAGGCTGATCCATTGCTGACTCCTTGGGATTTCTGACTCCTCTTCTTCTGATTGGTTCCTGCTAATTCAATCACTCGTTCCAAACATTAAAACATGGACAAATGCCTTAAAGCAGGGCTGTCAAACATGCGGCATGCGGGCCGGATGTGTCACACACTGGCCACGCCCACAGCTGGTTTAGCGAAGGGGAAAAAAGTTGCAATATGTCACCTGATGAAGCCGTGACGACACCCTTGCCTTAAAGCATGTGCAATCTTCTCTCAGTATTGCAATAGGGAAGATGAGGTCAGTGTCCTTTTTAAAATTGGTAACTTATCTTGATGCTAATGAATAAAGAGCTTGACAATATAGTTTTATTTTTTTTTAATTCAATGTAACCTGCACATTTAATTTTAATAATGAAAATTATTGTAGGATCCAGTCAAGGTCAGTACACCGGGACCAGAGGTTTTGTCTTCCGAGCTTTCGGACTCATGATGGAGCCCATCTTCAGGGAATTTCTCTTTAGCCTGGGACATATAGATTTGCCTTCATTAAAATTATTATTCTACAATTTTTGAGAATTCACCCTTTGTCTAGCGAGAAAACTCAGTGAATGGAGCTGCTGTGCTTGCCATTGAATGCATTGAGACCTCAGGTTTGAGGTCTCGATATTTGACTGCTCTAGCTGACCAGGAGATGCCTGATTGATCAGCCTCCTCAGATGAATCATGGTTTGAAGATTCCTGAGGCTACCAATACACAGAGTTAGAACATTGTCAGAATTAGAGTTAGAATCTAAATCTGAATTTTGGCTTATGACATCCTGCATTTGTGGGAAAATATTAGAAAGAAAAAAAAATCATTGTATTAATATAAAAGGAAAAACTGGTTTGCTTTCCATACAATTTACAAACAAAAAAATGATAAAAAACAAAAAACAAAGTATCATATTATTACATACGCACAGCAGAAAGGATAAAATTATAAGCAGGAGTTTATTTTTTCCTAGCCTATTATTACAATGTGGATAGCTGAGCTTTGTTGTATTATGAGGCATGGCCAGCAATTATTTAGATGGAACAAGTTCTGGGCTAGGTCTCCACAGCTGATCTTAATTTTCAGAAAGGAATGAAGAAGTCAACAGCAACCAAATGAGAAGTAAGACAAACCCAAGAGTGTAGCAGCTGTGGAAAGATCACTCGAGAGACTAATATTTTGTATTTTGGAACTCCTCTTAGGACTGACGTGCGCAATACATGGATTTCTCATTTTGGGTTGTTGTTTGGAACATCTGTCCTTTCAAAAATAGTCAGAGGGATCTCCTTGCTTGTCCTCTTACGCAGAAGTGAGGCAATAGATTCCTAGTGCAAGGCCATGTGTGTTAATACGATGCAAAAGCTTGATGGCTAGAAAACCTTTTCGGTGAGCCCAAGATGGACTTAAAAGTAATTAATTTAATCCAAAAGCTTTTTGAATAACAGTTCTCACTTCAATAATTCAAATACTGTACATAGATTGAGT